CCTGATTTTGTCATACCATGTTCCTTGTCAAAATCTGTACTTGTATGCTTAACTTGAAGATATATTTGTAGTTACTGGAAGGGTTAGTCCATGTCTCAGGGGTATGGATCTAGGGGAAGAGAAGATGATCATGTAGACACTTATTAGAAAGAAATTAAAGGAGCTAAAGGGTAGAATGCTTGCAGATGATTTGGTGAGCAAAATGAGTATCAAAAAAAGGACAACTATTTAAAAGGATTATTATAAAAAAAAAGGATTATTATAAAAATTACATTGTTAACAGCAGAGTAAAAGAACTTTATAAGAAAATACATTTACAAAGGGTAAATATTCCTGTCATTGTGAATTGCAAGATCTCTTGGGAGAGTTGTATTTGCATATGTGTAAAGGAACTGAAAACAATAAATACTGAAGCCCTAATAATCAGCATGTGCTGGTGTCAGCAATGCCATCGGTTGCATCAGTGCCGAGATAGGAAGCATGGGCTATCTTTATTTGCCTCAGGTCAGTAGTTTTTATCTGCAGTTAAGTAGGATGGAGAGTACTCTACTTACTCCTTAATGGTCCTTTTAAGGCCCCTTCATAAAAACATCTCATCTAGGTGTGTCTGTGGTGCTACTGAATCTCTTTATTCTGTCCTCATAAAAACACAGTGAGCAGGCAAATTACATAGAAGTTATGGCCACTGAGCAGGCTTAAAAGAAAAGCATGACAGATTTTTCAGAGGAAAAGCAGTCCTGCTCATCACTGTTCAAATGAACATTTAATAATTCATAACAACTGAGTTATAAGTTTCCCCTTCAATACGTTTCCAAATGTGAATAGATTAAATGGTAATTGCTATCAAGCTTTATGTTCTATTTCATGTACCTAATAAAAGTTTATCTAGTGGAGCTTACTTTGTATCTTTTTGATCTATTCCTAACTGACTGCAATATACTCTATTAAAATATTTATCATTGTGCTATCAAATATTAACCATTTTTAAATCATCTGACTAAAGAAAACAAATAATGTTACTTGCTTAAGTTTTCATGAATTTCCTAATATTTAGTTGTTCAGAACTCTCCCATGATATAGCACCAAAAATACCAAAGACCCTAGAATTGTATTCATTCTTTTAAAATTGGGTTGTTTTGAAATGTACTCTGCTCACATCCATCACTGCTGTCCGTTTTGGCTCTGCGTGCAGAATCCTAGTTTTGTTGTCTGTAAAAAGTTATGATTCTGCTTCAGTACAAGAGAATCTTAGAGAGTTGTTGGTTTTTCTATAGGTTAGTACAGAACACTTTTAAGGAAAACATTCTTAGGAAGTTTCCTTAATTATCCACCTGCTCATCCACCTGAAATTATGTGGCTTTGTCAGGTAAAAATACCAGCAACTTCCTAGGCTATAATGTCAATGAAGTAATGGTGGAAAGAGGAGAATACTTATCCCCCAGATGTGCTACAGCTGCAGGGCAGCCCAGCCTGATTGCCAGGGCTGCGTTGCTTCCCAGCTGAGCAGGTTATGCTCTCCCAGGGTGCCTCTGCTTGTTCAACCCATTGCTGATTCATATCACAGAACAAACACAGCAGAAAACTATTCTTTTTTTGGTTAGTGTCCTGCTGAGTTAGATCTGAAATCGTTCAATGAAAGGTCAAACAAGTGCCTGAGAGATTGCTGGGGGTGTGGGACTAAATAGTAGGGAACTGGGAGAAGAGGGATTGCAGCACTTGCAATTAGAGCAATTTAGACAGCCATGAAATAGCAGCTTTGAAGCTGACACCTGGGCAAGATCAAGAGGCGAACACCCTCTTTGCTCCAATCCAATCCCTCACCTTGCAGGGGAAAAATTGTTCTATTAAAGGTCAGGTGTATAAATGTTGCTACTGAACCATTTCTTTTCACTTTGGAGAAAGCAAGTCTGATCACCAGGTTATCAGAGTAAATCTCCTGAAGAGCTGCAGTCTGTTAAGAGCCTGGTGCCTCTCAATAACACAGTAACTATGCTAACTAGCCCCCTTTTCTGAGCCTCACTCTGCTTATGACCTGTTATTTCCTTTGGCTTCTCTGCACACAGGTATTACCTAATTCACAGTCCCCATCCTGTTCAGAGAGGCCTCCCAGCACAGACACGCTGAGATAACGTCCTTGAGCTCTCACCAATGCCCCTCTAATCTATTGCTTCTGCAGTTTCTTCCACTTCCACAATATCTCACACACGTTGTAGGCAGCGGTGCTAAAAGCAGATTGAGACATGATCCCCAACTGATACATGCTACAGTAATTATGTAGATCTGTATGATAACTATCTAGAGAGAGCATCCTATGTTTTCATCTTCTCCTCTGTGCTCTTCATAGAGGAAAGGTGCCTCACTTAATCATTTCTGTTAATATACAGTGTTTGTGTTCTGACATGTTTACCCTGAATAAAAAATATCCTCTCCCAAGGGAGATATCAACCTTCTTTTTCTCCTTCAAATCCAGTATCTCATTAAAAAATAATACCATTCCATGATAATCATACTTTGGTGCACAATTTTCTGTGTATCCCAGTATCTGTATGGTTATTCTGTGGGTTGTGTATTTTAGAAAGAATGCATTAATAAACACATTCACATTGTCTTTTCTCAGGTTTAAAAGACCCAGGATATGAGGATGGCATTACACCTGTAAGTCATCAGCATGCTTCCCCTGAGGCAAGTGGAATCACTGCTCTGCATCATCTGAGGATCACGACTGATAATGCTGTAATTTTGTTTGTAGTCTTGCCTTGCTTGTCTTATATCTGTAAACCATATTTTGCCTTGAGTTGCAGCAGTGGGATTCTGGATTGATTTAAGGAGAATTATTCTGGATTTGAATTTGGAGCCATTTGAAAGAGAGTCTGTTACTCTTGCATCCAAACCCCTGTACATACGAACAGTTTGTTTAGTCTGTATAACAGTCATGTAAGATAGGTATTGTGAAATCAGTATTTCATGTATAAGGACCATGGGCAGGTTGTTCCTTGGGGACAGCAATGTTCAGCCCCAACAGAACTTTATCCTTTTCAATGAATTCTTTCTCTGTTTTACTTCCCTCCAGCTCCAAGCACAGCAGTATGCTTACTGGTACCAGTCCTGGCACCAAAACACACCAGAACTGAAAGTGTACACAGCACCTGTGCAAGGGGGAAATCCCCCCGTATCCTGACCAGCTAAAAGCATTAAAACTGCTACTGGTAAAAAAGATGTAAAAAGATATAAAAATATATCGATGGCTCCCCACACAGGTGGTTGCAATGGTGAACTGGAAAGCAGGGCATCCTGGTTCTGAATTTCTATTTCTTTTTTTTTTGTATTTTTTCCCAGGCACAACTTCAATGTGTAGGTATCGGAGGACTCATCAGATTCATCTGAGTACAAACATGTATAAAAATCACTAACCTTCAATGAGGAGACAATTGCATTTATATATTTAACCTGTTTAGAAAGAAGTGCATGATGTATTTTTTTTTAAATGTTGTTTTTTTAACAAATAGGTGGTATATATCTTTTCTTCTTTTCTTGCTGATTGGTAAACACAATCTTCCAAAAGCAAAGGTTAATTTAAGTTCTGGGTTTACAATTTCAAGTTTGATTTTCTTTGGCAATTCAATCTGCATGATGATTTTGATCAAATGCCTCAGCTTATAACATTTGTAACACATGATAAAATCCACCCCAAAAAAGCTCATATTTAAATAATCATGTAATAAGTTGAAGGCACACTGTGACAGAACATGAATTATCTAACAGGCTGCAGACTAACACCAGTTTAGTCTGGAAGACAGATACAAGCACTGAGTGCAGTTTTAGCATTGAAGATAAGAGTGTAATCCTTTGCCTGCTTCTATTTAAAATCAATGAAAAAGGGTAAAAAGATAAATTGTTCAGAGCTTGATGTAAGGCATGTGGCTGAAAACTCATTCGGTAATTGTTTAAAATTTGCACCATTGAAGGAAGATGATTTAAAACTGAGGTTCACAATCAGGTGCACGCTACCATTGGTAACTCTTCTACTCGCTCTAGGCCTTTGTAGTGCTGTGGGTTCAGTGTCTTTATTTAGTCTTTGACTCCATGAAGGGAGATAGTGAGTAATATTAATCATTGAACCTTCCCTCACCTTTCCCCTGTGAGGTGATCATGACTAACAAAAATCTGAGCTATGCTGGTAAACTGATATTGGCGAAAGAGTCACTTTTTCTTTGCCTGATTGGATAAATATGCAGCTGGTTTTGGAATCAATTCTTCTGTGAGTGAAATTAAAAGGTGTTACTTTAAAATGCTCCTGTATATATGCAACAGAATTTAGTCACCAGAAATGTCATGGCCAATAAATACAAAAGATGCAAGACTGTAAGCAGTAAACATAGAAAATCAAGTGAATGCTCCTGCTTAATATTTTGGCTTCATCCATTTTTTAAAAGCTCCGGTGGTGGTTCTGTGTGTAAATGTTTCTACCTTTTGATACAGATTCCTTTTATCACAAAGCACTATGTTCAGTTTAAGACTGGTCCAAAACAACTGTAGTTGCTGGTTAAATTTCTTGCCAGGCTTGAAGCTTTTAATTATGTTCTTATGTTCATTTTTAAAGGAAATAGTTTAATTTCTAGAAAACAGAAAAATCAAATATAGCTGTGTATTTTCTCGTGTTCCAGGAATTCTAAAAGGGTTTCAGGACCAGACTGTTCTGTTCTTAATTCATTCCCTATGCTTTGATCTATGTATGCATGCTGGTGAGAAAACCATTGTGGGTGCCTGGCAGGGAGGCCCCCAGCACTTTCCCGCACACACAGCGCCTGCAGCATCCACGGTTCTGGAAGTACCTGCCTGAGAAGTAGCACAAGGCACAGTTGCATCTATTGTACCTCTCTTTCTGAGGGCAACAAACCTTCCTGTACCAACCAGACCCTGCTGACCGCTACCACTATGCAGCACAAACCCCGAATGCAAGAAGATAACAGCTGTTATCACAGTGCTTTTTATCTGGGAGGCAAAGTCTAAAATTGCATCTGACCTCTGTGTGTGCAGAGACGCCAGGTGATGAGAGCTCTGCCTAGATCCTCAGAAGTTTTAGATTAGATCAGTAAGAGTGAGGTACCTAAATGAATAGTTCTGGGGATAATAGCTTCTGTGTCTTCTACCCATGTGTGGTACAAAGTAGACTCCAAACTGTAATTTATCAAATGATATATTGTGGGCCCTAGAAAACACAACAGGTCTTTTGTGTTGGTTTTTTTTTCCCTAATGGGTTTACTAATATATAAAATTACAACACTCCATTTACTTATAGAATCATACAAGTAATTAAACTAGCTATAGTATAGATTTAACTTATTTATCTACAAGTCAAGCTTCTGATTGCCCTAGGTCAATGGTTTTTATCAACAAAGCTTCATAATAATAGATTTTCTTAATAATGCCAATGGGGTATGTATAACAAAAAATATACAAACACATCTGTCTGTTAAGTGTGTGTGTATGTATCAGTCTTTGCATATATACATTTCTATACAGCACAGGCTCAGGGAAAACCAGATCAAACCCACATTTTATGTGTCTAGAGAAATAATAATTTTGAGCTTGGCTAAGGCAATAGAATGAGTTCTTATTTTTCTTGAATATTGGGGTCTGCTTGCTTGCCCAGTCATATTTTTAGATTTCAGTGGAAAAATAGTAATACATACTAGAAAATTAAATTAATTGGAATTCTGTTCCTCCATGATAAGACTTGAAATGAGATTTAAATCAGCGTGTGCTTGGTAAAACGTGGCAATTTGATGTCTGTTCCATAAAACTGACAACCGCATCTAGTTGTTTTTCTTCTGAATTTGATCAGATAATTTGGTCAAAACTTGGAGAATATCTAACAGTTACACAATCAGACAGATTTGTTCAGAAAATTACAACATAGTGAGGGAAACTCAATTAATTTTGTCAGCAAATATAAAGGTACTAGCTTGCACTTCCAGAAACTGTCCAAAGCTTTTACAAATACTCTTGATTCAGCTAAATCAAGCTAATTATATGTTGGGCTCAAAAAATCCTCATTAAAACAACATTATTTGTGTCATAATGTCCAAACCTGAAAAGATAGGAAATACTGCAATTAGTAAGCAATTGCTCTGACAAACTGGTGTGTACATATATATATATATATATTTAATCATATGACTGTAAAATTTGCTCCACAGCCTTCCAGATGTGTTCAATATCTCAGTTACTTAATATCTTTTTTTAGACCCACTGTATGGACATGGTGTTTACTTTATTCAGATTCTACTGCAGAGAACCATATTGATTTCTTTTTTCATTTTTTTCCCCTGTAGTTAATGTCACCACAATATTTCAATGCTTCACAAATTCTAATGTTTTCTTTGCCACTACCAAAGGTAAAGTACAACCTTCTTCTGCATAAGGGGTGCAAGGCAGAGGGAGACCCTATAACTTCTGTGTGCTTTGTTTGGGAGATACCTAGGGTTTGATTTGGCAAAAAATTAATAATAGAGAACTTTGAGACTTGAAACACTACTTCACCTGCTCTCTGCTGCATCTCTAAGTGCCCAATAATTTTGTGAATCAAAACTCAAGTACAGGCATCTGCAAAATGAGAATACAGTTAACAACCATGTGTGAAAAGTATGGTTGAAATGACCTGCCAAACATAAAGAGGAGGTTTCCGGCAGAAGCTGAGGAAGTAAAATTTTCTCAGGTAGCACTGAATAGTGTTGCCCACACAAATGTTCTTTTTCTTCATATACTCTCTTTAATGCTAATCGGTTAATTATCACAATCTTTCCTGAAACTCTTTATTTATGGTTTTCTTTCCAGATATATTTGTTGTCACAAGTCCAGCTTTTCTACTTCAGAGGCACTCATCACTTGGAGAGGCAGCGGTAATCTCTAGCTTTACTCTTTGTTTCTTTTTAATTTATGATATAAGATTTGCATTTGTTTTAGAGTGTTTAGAGCATTTGTATGGCTATTGACCAATTTTATAATATTTGGCTAATTGGTGTCAGTAATTACATTTTCTGTGTTTCTCAGTCTTAAGAATCACAAGCAAGCTCTTGTAGAAATATGTCTTTAATGTGTGTGTGTAAAAATGGAGAAAGGCAATGAGAAAATGTGAAGGAAACACATAAGAGGACTCTCCAGAGCTTCTGGAAGTAGATGATCAAAACAGTTATAAAAAAAATGTTAAGAATTTACTACAAACAAAATTTGCAATAAAGGTCTAATCCTCTAAATGTTGAAGTGGTATTTCCACTCATCTGTTTATATGACCTGTAAACCAGAAGAAAAGCTAAATATATAACTAAGCGTTGAAACAACATCTGCCCAAGCACCACTTAAGAAAAATTTCAGCTCTTCTTTTTAAGGATGTTAAGTATACCTCCATTTTTTTTTCAATCTTTAGCTTTCATCTAGTTTTCACTAATTATTACAGGTAACGAGCCAGTGTTTTGCAGTTATTGTCCAGGGACAGTTTTAAGGTATGAAAGGTTAACTTACTCAAGAAGCTGAAGTTTAGGACAGAAAAAAAGTGAATGTGCAGAGAAATCACCTTTTATCTTTTAGGAAGAATTTTGAATTTGAAGTTAATATGCTGATGTTTTAGTATAAAAAACTTATTTCACAGTTGTCAAGACGTGTGTTTACATAGCTCAGTGGGAACTCCTTGAGGTGTTAGTGAGAGAGAGAGAGAGGGAGGACACTGAAAGTGCATTGAAATAAATGGATGGCACAGTCAGTGTCCTCAGCTGGGAGTTTCCCAAAAGGTTCAGGCATTATGGCATTCTTACAGCTCATAGAGCATTTTGCTCATTTTCTGCTCTTCAGTAGCTGCACATGATAGCACACAGACCCAGAGGCAGCAAAGTTGCATGAGAGGGGCGACTCTCAGTTACTTACGTTGACAGCCCAAGCTGTGCCAGATATATCCCGGCAGACATTTATCACATTTAGGCCCTGATGTTCCCTCCTTACACTCACAAAATCCTCTGTCATTACAGCGATCATGGACTGAACCAAAAGGGTTACAATAACAGTCTGCAGAAACAAGACAACACATACACACTGGATTCAGGTCTACATGTGGTGATAATTCATTCAATACCAATAAAGGGTGCATTTCCAGTGCTAAAGGTAAAGGAAGACTGTCTATTATGGATATCTAGAGTAGTGAATATAACTACTACATGTCCATTTATTTGTTTGCATATGTCATTTCAGGAAGAGACGTTTTATGATGTGAAGAGAAAAAGTAAACAGAAAAGATATAAAGGCAGAAGATACCATGGGTCTTTGAGGATAAGTGATTGTAACAGATTCTCTTTTGGCAAAAATATTTTTGACAGTTTAATGAACATTAGAAAAGTTTTGTATAGTATGGATATATCAATGTGCCATCAAGGTGAAAAGATTCACATTATTAAAATAGGCTTATCTGTGTTACTCAATATTTTCAGAAGTGCTGAATGTCTTTACAGGGCTATATAAATGCACTTTACTTATTTCCAAGATAGTCTTCCTTTATGGTTTTGAGCAGTATAATAATTTTTGTGGATATTTACCATTAAGTTGGTGAGATTGTATTTATCAGTGACGTTAATAAACCTGTTACGTATTCCACAATGGAAAGCTTGAGGTGAGCACTAATGTACAGCAAAACTTATCAGAACTGGCTCTATGCTGCCATTTTAATTTCTCTCACCTCCCAGCGTGCAGATGGAAAATGCAGTGAGGCTCATTCCCTGCTGTATATTTTTCACATGTGTTCAGCTAATTAAAGAATAAGTAGGGAACCCATTTCCTCCCACAACACTTACTGTGTTGTTCATTCACAGCCCTTTTCTTCAATGTGATTACAATATCTGTGTTCAGCTTTCAGCTAGCTGAACGAAGGCAAGACAGTAGCTGGCAGAGCTCATTTTTGGCACTCCTGTTCTTCAGCTTGGTTATTTATATATTTTTTTTCCTCCCAAATGAAGGGCTGTATATGTATGTAGACCCATGTAGACCCAGAGTAACTTCACTGTCAACTGAGACCACAGACACCTTTTGGCAGCATCTGATCTCTGCTGCTTCTTCAATCTGGGCAACCTGCTGGGAGTCTGGATTTATACGTCTGTGAATCAGTACTACTTTGATGACTACCTTTGGCAATTGTTCCCTAGCATTACGTTAAACCTCAATGATATCATAAATGACAAAAAGGAGTTGAACTCGGAAGTTACATATATATATATATATATATGTATGTATGTATGTATGTATCTATAATGGAAAAACTGTAACAGAAAAAATATTTCCAGAAAGACATTTGTCATCTGTTGTCTCACTGTTTATTAACTGTAAATTACAGATGGCACTTTGAACATTTGGCATGCTGAAGAAGAATGCCAAACAGGGTTCCACAACAATAATAGAGTCAATTAGCTAGCAACATTCATTAATGAAGTTGAAAACTGACATGCCAAAAATACTGTGCAAGGCTGAGTATTATAGCACAGTGCGTGCCACTTGAAAAGCTGGGAATTCTCATGTTAATCAGATGTACGAAATGCTTGTACAAACAGGCATAAAACTGAGATACACTCTGAATGCAGGAATTAAATTTTGCTTGAAGAGTGTTTATAGAAAAATCTTGAAAGACAAAAACTTGGAATTACATTAGAAACAGAGGGCCCAACTCTTGTTAAAGTAGCTTTGTTAGATCTAATGTAGTTACAGTGATTTAAACAAGTATTTGTGAAAGAAATGTATAGCCTGTGATACTGAATGTTATAGATACATAATATTTTCCAGAGAGCAATACTCTGACCCTGAACGAGTGAAACCTTTCCTACTGAACTCTATCACATAAGCGTGTTGGAAGTACCAGGCCCAAACTGTGCTGTTTAATGGAAAGTAGATAGTAGAAAGACAGATTCAGCCAGGCTCTTTTACAAAATTACCAGATCAAATCAGAACACCAGACCCAGCAACCTTTAGTAACTGAATCTATTCTCCATCTTTCCCAATACACAACTGATAACACAGTAATACGACCTACAGAGGTCCACAGAACGTCCAGGATCATTGTCCAATGCAATATCACAGGCTGTGGAACACTTCCCAAGACCTTCCAAATACTTAAGACATTAAAAAACTCAAAGGTCACAATTTCATTGTGCCCCTTACAACAACAGGGCATTAAATAACACTAAGCTAACGCTCCCAGATCGTCCTAATAAGCAGACCACACACAGGTTCCAGGGTGGGGGAAAAAGCCCTGCAGATCTGAACTGGGAAGGAATTTTCCTCCTAACCTCCGTCTGGTAACTGAAAGGATGGAAAGATTAACAGAAGTAGTCATCTGTTTGCTGAGATTCACTAACTATATCAATGTGATGCTGCCAACAAAACACAATGAAAGTAAGTAAAAAGAAGGTGGGCTTATCAGTCTGGGTTGACAGTGGCTAGAGGACAACCCTCGGGGTTCACTTAATCATTTATCATTAGGGCTTCTAAAAGTTTCACAGATGTTAATTGAAGTTTAAGCCTAACTGACTGCAAGGCTGGCTTTCTTAAAGGTGTGACAGCAATCACCATTTCAGTATTTATTTTGTAAGGCAAAGGCCATGTTTTATTACTCTGGGTCTACTTGGTGGTTTTCATGCTCTCCATGCTTGCCAGTGTGGGAATTCACTGAAATAGTTATTAGGGCTTTATCAAGAAATAAAAAACTCTTCAAGATGTTAAATTTTTTTCATGTCAAATTAATGATTTTTAACTTCACATCACCTTGATTTATTCAGAAACTGCAGTTGCCCATGTGAGGTAATTTTCCAGTTAACTTACAAATCCACAAATATTTGATATTTCATTTTAAGAAATAAAATTTATTTTGCTTCTAAAGAAATTAAGGGCATCGATAATTTAGATTTAAGCCCACTGTATAATGCATTGCATATAGTTCACTGGTAAAAACCTTCTCAGTATTTGAATTCTTTAGTTTTAAAAATTAAACAATTTACATTTTCTCCATTTAGTTAGCATCAGCTAAGATTTACAGATTTGTTATCCATGTACTTACCATATATATTTATGAAAACTGTGTAAGCAGTTTTGATAAATCAGAGCCAAAGCCCTGTTAGCTGCCATTAAATTAGCTTATCCAAACATTTTTTTACCTTTCTACATATATGGCTGAAGAGGAAAGAATTAGCCTGGCAAAATGACTTTCATACGGGAAGAAAACTTGCACATGTCACTGGAAATCTGCTTATTAAAATGTTCATGTCAACATTTCACTTGTACTTAAACCACAAAAAAACTGATTTTAAACTCAGCAAAGAGAGAAATGAGCATTTCCAATAGAGCAAGACTGTGCTTGACCTAGAAGGGTGGTGAATCCATCAACTCTCTCAGAGGTGAAAATACACTACATTTTCCAGGATTAAATCTCAGGAGCCCCAGTTCAAGAAAATATTTTAGGCACAAGCTTCTCTGTTTTCTGAAAAGTGCTTAGGTATCTTCCCCATTTTGCTGATTTTACACATGAAGTAGTATGAAAGATTTCTCAAGTTGGCAAATCAGCGAGGATACGTACATTAGGACACATACATTTTGTATGCAGTGTGATCACTGTGACCGTGAAAACTGTTTTAGTCCAACAAGAATGTTATTTATTTAAAATAAATACCTAATATGTAGCAAACCAGAGTTGGAGCCTACAGTCGTTTCACGTGGTACAATTCTCATGGGTGCCCAAGGGAATTCTGCTTTCATTAAGGTGGAAAGTCAGCAAATGTTTCACATTGCCTTTTTTTTCCCTCAGACTCTTTTTAAATTAAAGGGTTTTAAATTTTATTTCTGCAGAATCTAGACAACTGCAAAGTGCATAGTTGTT